CGGGGCCCCAGGCCTCTCGGGCAGGGTCGGGAAAGCGGGCAGGAGGAGTGCGCTGGGCACCGCGGGGCCGGGCGGAGCTGGGTTCTGATCGCCCCTGGGGCGCGCCGCGGGCGCGAGTGCGGGGAGAGGGGCGCGGATCCCCTGGGCTCGCCACGAGGAAGCAAATGCCCAGCGAAACCCGAGGCCTCTGAGACCACCGCCCGGTCCAGCCCCTTTGCCACCGGGGCCCGCCGATCCCTGCCGGTCTCGTCCGGTCTGGGTCCTGCAACCTCCAGCACGGTGCACCGCGCGCCTGGCTCTGCCCCGCGGCACGTGTCGCGTGCTCCGGGGTTCCCTGGAGCTCGGGGGTGAGGTGGGGGGCTGGGGACGACCCGCGGGGCGGCGGGCGGGCGGACCTGCGCCTCTTGGCCTCTGCGTAGGGCAAGCGCAAAGGATGCCCGTCGGGTTCAGGCCTCGGTTCACCGGGGTTTCTGCCTTAGGGCGGTGAGACCAGAGGCACAGAGAGAGGGCGGCGAGAAGGGAGATGGGTAGGAGATGGGATCCTTCGGGAAGGAATTTAGGTCCGGTGAGCGGCCAGGAAGGACCCGGCTGTGTCACCAACTCGCTGGGTGGCCTCAGCAGCCTGTGACCCGGCCTCGACCGCGGTGCCCAGGGCTGACCCCGGGGAGTGCTTCTGCTCGGGGCAGCAGGGGGAGGTGACGGAGAGGCCCCTCTCCCGCCGCCCTGCATGAGCCAGCGGGGTGGGAATGCTGGTAGGAAACACCTCCGGCTTCCACTTTACGGGGCCCGCAGGTTTCAAAGGCGCCGGTCAACCTTGTCTAAACAGGGGGCACCGAAGTCAAATTCCTCACGCGGAGCTGGGGCTTATGGAGTCCTGGAGGGCAATGCTGCCCCCTGCTGGAGTTTGGGGGACTCGGTTCTCCGTCGCACGGTGAGAATAGTCTGAGGGGAGGTGTGTGGCCCATCTTCCTTCCAAGGTGGGGTTCAGCTTATTCTGGTGTGTGGAGGGGACCCGAGGCAAGTGGTGCTGGG